AGTGAGTACATACCATGTTTGTCATTTTGTGACTAGGTTATCTCACTCAGGATGGTTTCTTCTAGTTCCATCTATTTGCCTGCGAATTTCAAGATTCTGTTGTTTTTTCCCCTGCTGAGTAGTACTCCATTGTGTAAATGTACCACATTTTCTTTGTCCATTCTTCAGTTGAGGGACATCGAGGTTGCTTCCAGATTCTGGCTATTACAAATAATGCTGCTATGAACAGGACATAATCTTTTTTACCTATGTAAAATTAGGTAGGTACTTCTCACCTTGAAGAAAGTATAATTTGTATACAAAGGAGAATCTATTGCTTGACATGTTGGAAACTTAGTCTCCAATGAGAAACTATTGAGGGTTGGGCCTAATAAGAGGCTAATTATGTGGTATAGATCTGCCATCAGAATGAATTATTGTCATGCTCCGAGAGTGAAATAATAAGATAACAGAAGTATTATAAGCATTAATTTATTCCTTTCTCTCAAGGTAGCCTCTTCGAATCTCTCACCTCATAATATCATTCACTATGCTAGGATTCAGTTCAATGAGCCTTGCCACATGTAGCAAAACACTGATGGCTTTGGTCATCATCACTGGATCCATAGGGGAAAATGTCTGTTGTTTACAGATTACCTTTCTGTGGTATTCCATCGTGTCTGCAGAAACCAAGCTAGGTCAGAGGCCAGCTTCACAATCTAGAGATGAAACATTGAACAGCTGTTTGGTTTTCCCAGACCAAAGCAAGAATTCTTTTCATTCTTTTATAAAAGTTGTTAATTACCTCCAGGTAGTGAAGCCTGAAGCTGGAGGTCAAGAAGCCTTCAGACAGAGGGAAGAAAGACCTGTAAATGTAACTCAGACACTTTAAGTACTTTTCTGTGCTGTGTAAAGCATGTGAGAGAGTTTTATGCTCTGGCCAAGTGTGCCCTCACTGGAGCTGGATGCTCGTCCAGTTGGATCATGAGTCTCGTTCGACACCGTAATTACAGACATGAGGTTTGGGCTGAAAGGCACAATGCTGGGTTTCCCATTTAGAATGAGTCACATTAGAAATATTTTTATTAGCCTCCCTGAAAACCACAGCATACCTTCAGATGTTATTAATTGCAAATGTATATAAGCTTTTAAAATTCCCCTACCACGGTTTCTAACATACTGGAGACTAAAAATAGTGGGCTAATAGGTTAAATTGCTGCAAAGAGTTTGCTTCCAAGATTTGAAAGATTTATGTAAGTTTCATTTGAAGTCCAGGAATTCACATTGAGCAATTAAAAGACCAGTATGGAAATGACTGAAAAACATGACACCTATTTAGATGTGTGTTCTAGACATCCTCTAGACTCACGCATTTCATCCTCGTTTCCCAAGGGAATATGTGCATGTTGGTGATGTGACTTTTGTAACAAACTCCATTTTCATCTACTGTTTGTAGAAAGGGGAAACAGAACAGGTCCCCAGGTTTTGACTTCACACATGTGTAACATTTTCCTGACACGGCTCCTGTGCATGGCAGTAGTTGGCTGTACTTTATGTTGTTCCAGAAGGAATTAAAAGTCACATAAATTAAGACTCCGAGTAAAATAAGCAAGAAATGAGGGTGTGGGTGAAAAATAGAGGCAGGAATGATGTTTAAAAAATGCACATCATAGACCTGTACACTCAGTGTGTGTGTGTGTGTGGGGGGGTAAATTTGGCACTGGTTTTCTAGGAATCTGAAACACAGTTGCTAAAATAACCAGTTAGAACAGAGAGGAAAGCAGTCAGAGTTTCTGTTGTGTTACAATAAAGAGAACATGTATGCTGTAATAAGCAACACCTAGCAACACAGTGCACACTGTTAGGGTCACAGCTAATTCTTAAAGTGGACATCAATGTCGGCATTATAATAATGTACTTGCTAAAGCAAGATCTAATAAAAATATCTGAAAGTGACTCACTTATCGTCAGGTCTGCAGAAGTCTAAGGTTTTTACATGTGCACAAGTAGGCGTGCATTTGCTCATGGATGTTGGTGAGACAGGATTCCTGGGTCAAAGCAAAGGCAGTCGGTGTGTTCCTGTGTAACAGCAGTAGCTTGAATAGTGCTCTATTCAGAGCCCAGATCCCCAGTCTCTAAGGAGCAACACAAATAGGTGATACGTGTATATGACGTGGGTAATGTTACAGAACAGGAATATTATGATGGGAAACGACCATGGGAATCTTTTATGACGGGAGAAGGCCATGTATTCTGTTTGCTCTAAGCAGAGGTCACATTTATAATAACAGAGTTACATTTATAATAACATAGTTCCATCTTCCAAAGCTATTGATTGTATTGAAGTGTTCTCTGCATTGATTCAGGACTGTTAGTGAATTCTGAGGAATCTGTGAGTTGTATTTCCTTTGCCACTTGCTTTGCATGTCCCTGTTGCATTCTTCTAGACAGTGAGGAAAGTGATGATCAAGAAACAGATGACCTATATTTTCATAAAAAACGGTAGTAATTATGATTTTTCCAAGTTCTTCCTAGAGGTTCTTTTGACATAATTTTTCAAAAATACTAGTGACAATGAATTTAGTAGTCTATTGTTCCACAAGTGTTTGGAGTTTGGCATTTCTACATTTTCAAGTAAGATACCATGCCTTAAATAGTCATCCAAATAGTGGAGCTGGAGAAACCTAATGGAGTTACATAAATAATTCCAAAGTCAACTCCACTGTGCCTGAGGTCAGGTTCAGTTTTTCCTTGTGAATAGCCCACAACCTTCCTATGATTATGTGACCAAAGCCCCAAGGCTTACTCATGTAAGAAAGGATGTGTTCATACTGTTTGTGTTGGGACTCTGAAGACAGAAACTTTTCTAGTCACTGGGAGCTGAAATGTCCTATGTGTGAGGTCCCTTTCTTCAAGCCACTCCCTCTCCCTGGCCCCAGCTCTCATACTGTCAGTGTGTCTGTTCAATGCTTGTTTGCCCTACTAGCTAGAGTAGTGCAACCATCTTTTCCTGACAAACCATTAGAAGCTGGCCTCCATTTAGCTGGTGTCCATTTGGTTCCAAACATCATCAGTGATTCTAATACGGCCTGGGCTTCATCTGCTGGCCACGTTGTGTCTGATCCCTGAATTCCATTCCTTATGTCTCACACCAGCCTTGCACCATTTTGAAGAATGAGCCTTCTTTGCAATATTTCTATTAGGTTTGTTTCCTTAGGAATCTGTCGTTTCCTTTAACACTGGCCTCACTGGCATAGCCTGGTGGTTATGGGCTATGGACCGTGGAGTCCACAGGGGCAGCTGGGTGAGCGTGACTTTCAGGTTTGAGGGAACTGCCTGTTCAAGCAGAAAATCAGAGCTGAGAAACATGTAAAATACCCCAGCCCCTTCTGAAGCTGGTGCCAGAACACTCCACGGTGAGGACTCAGGCTGCCAGCAGCCGTTATTGTATATGCGTTCTGTGTGCCAGACACTATGGTAAATACAAAGGCGTTACAAACAAACTTATAAAGCTTCCACTGCATGCATGTCTCTGTGTGTGCGAGCGTGTGCACATGTGCATGGGCGTGTTAGTGCACCTGTGGGTCCAAGTGCCTCCGGAGGCCGGAGACTGACGCTGGGTGTCTTCTCTAGTTTCTCTCACCCTTATTTTTTTGAGGCAAGGTTTCACTGAATCTAGAACTCACCATTCAGTGAGATCGGCTACATAGGAAAAGCTTCAGGGCTCCTCTGTCTCTGTCTCCCCCATGCTGGGATTATAGATGTGTGCTGTGGTGTGGGCTTTTTATGTGGGTGGTGGGATCTGAACTGAGGTCCTTATTCTTGAGTAGCAGGCACTCTATTGTCTGAGCCATGTTCCCAGCCTTCACCTTTATTTCAGAATTGTAAGTTTGATCAGGTAGACGAGAAGGGCTGTGGTCACATGGCCTACTTAAATGCCAGCATTACTTGGGCCACGACACTGAGCCTTTCCCTTCCCCTCCCTTTGCTCAGTTTTCTATCAAAAATGAGAGTGGTCACAATGCCTTGGTCATAGATGGGTCTGAGGAATGAAGGCTTTAGCAGTGTGTAAATTGACTAGATCAATGTCTGTCGTGGAATATACGCTGGAACATAAACAGTGTTGGCCACATAGCAAAGACGTTTGTTCAAAGCAATTAAGGGGATCTTCCAAAGCCTGTATGAACTATACTTCGGTAGACATTGTTTTGTTAGGACACCTCTTCTTTCCGTACCTGAGCTTTTCTTACTATGAAAATGGAGATTGATAACAATATCACTCCTACATAGCCACCAGGCCAAAGGTTGTTGCCGAGGCTAGCCCAGTGGGGGGATAGGTAATGTGCTCCCTGTCTGTCTCTACATGCACACCTATAGAATATGTGCATATATATGTGTGTGTGTGTGTGTGTGTGTGTGCCTTTGTATGTGAATACCTGTGCACACCGTGTACAACTGCATAGATTAGGACCCTCTTTTGAAGATTCTCATAACATTAGACCTGCAGAATTGTCCAAAGTATATTTTCATGAATTTACTCCCACTTAAAAGGGAAGAGTTGGATTGGTTTCCCGGCTAATTAAAAGCAGCTTCCTTCTTAATAAAATATCGTTTTATATATTAATGTTTTGATGGGTTTAAGTATGCCTTTTTATTCTTCAAACCAGTTCAACAAATGTTTTAAAGTTGCCTGGGTAGTAGTTATTTCCTGAACAGCTTGGTCATAATTGGTCGCAATTTCAATTCTTGTATCAGAGGGAACAGAGAAGAGGCAGACAGTTACAATGTTGCAGAGGGAGATGTGATGATATGTTTTTGCTGTTGTGCCTACTTTTTTTTTTTTGAGTGTGTGGGAAAGGGTGTGATGTCATCCTGTCTCCACCCCCTGTGAGTAAGCCCACAGCAGAGCTCAGTGCAGCCGCCCGCCCGCCTCTATCAGTGGAGGACGTCCACTTAAATGCAGTTCCAGGCTTGCAAGGCACTCAGGAGCATCACTCCTCGTGTGAGCAGGCAGATGCAACATGCTCTCCAGCCTGGGGTGTCTGCTTCTCTGTGGAAGTATTGCCCTTGCCCTGGGAAATGCACAGAAATTGCCAAAAGGCAAGTAGCTTGGATCTTTTGTGTTTTAAAAGTAAGATTAAGAGTTGCTTGTTTTTAACTGTTGATATGAAATATGATCTGCTTTACAATGTGGGGGAATTGGATTATTCTGCGGAAAGCCAAGGGCCATATGTGTGAAGGGGTGCCCACTGTACGGGTTGTTTTCTCTTGGACCCCTGTTACTAACTTCGTGGTGGCAGCTTCTCCGAACAGCTTCTAATGGAGTGTGATCACACGAACTGAAGTGGTGCAGTTTCAAACTGCAGCATTTGTCCATCAAATTGGATTATATAAACGACTGTTGCAATTTGTTAGAGTTACTTGGTGCTTTCAGCTCTGTCCACAGAGACAACGGGTAGTGGCTTAAGCTTTGGGAGAAGCTTGTTCTGAAAGCTGGAATCTTTTGCATAAGTCTCAAGCATACCTGTGGTGTAGGGTCTGAGGGAGCATAGCCAGGTCAGACCCAAATACAGTCCTGCGCTAAGTGGCAGGCCAGGGCTCTCCCGTGGAGTTTGGCAGAGGGTTTGATTTGCTGGACAGGACACTCCCCCTTCTCCCGCCTAAATTGCTTATTTTAGTGTTGGTATTTTGTTTACAAAAGCCATCAACAGAGAAGTAAATTTTCTAAATTTAGATCCTTAGAAGCAATCCTTGGAACCGAATCACACTAAATCAGGAGGCTCTCGCCTCGTCCCGTCTGTGAACATAAATGTTGAGTGCACTTTTGCTCCTTTACAGAGACATTTCAGGTCTGTGGAGGTTTTTTATGGCTGCAGACTGCTGTAGTCAGCAAGATTATGAAAAACAGGCTGGAATTTACCGTACTGTAATGAAGGAAAGTATTAGAGGTGACACATGGGCACAGCCTCATCAAAACTGAGTCCAAAAGACAAGCTGAGGGTCAGAGTGTTGAGAGGACATGTCTGTCCTCTCTCAGGAGCTTCAGCCTAGGATCATCTTGTCTCAAATACAAAGGTCCTTTCTTTTGGTCCTTAAAGTGAAACTTGAATCCAGAATGTGAAGGCTGAAGCATTTGGCTAGTTAGTGTCTCACAAGAAGATGGGAACTGCAGTAAATGGCAAAGGAAACCTTTATTCCGATCAAATGATTATGCAAGGAAAAAGAAGTCAAGCACCATTAGATTTTTCTTCTACCATGAGTTTTGTTCCTTGATCATAATAAACTGTGACTTAATCCATAATTTACTGTTTGCACTGATGCAACTTTTAACAACATTGCCATTTGAGAGGAGCCTGTGGGTTTTGCTTTTTGTTTATTTTATTTTACTTTTTTTAGTTTTCAAAATTTACAGGTGTTTTTTCTTTTTTCTTTTACTCAGTATTTACTATATAGGGATGATGAATAACTTTGGTCACTACAGACTTATGTTAATTCCAAGTGCCTTAATTTTCCTGTTACAGCAGTAGATCGAGACCTCTTGGTAAACGTGGTCTTTGCTTGTAATGATAAAGAAAAATATGTGTTTGTCAATAATTGGGACAAGTTTCTTGCTCATCAATGTGTTTGCATTCAGGTTTCTTTTGTAATGTTTTAACAATCTGTAGTTTGGGTTTACATCAACAAAGCATCTGATTATAATTATTATAAAATAAATTGTAAATCTCTTTGTTTTTATTTTCTTAAAAGGTTTTGAGGGAATGTCTTTAAGTCAGTCAGTCACCTTTGTGAACTCGTGTTTCCGAATATCCTACGATGGTTGAGGGATGGGAGGCAGATGCTTTTCTTGAATAACTTTGGGAGCTTCTAATTCTTGCTTGTTTTGGGGAGAGGTCCCCACAACTGATGTTAGCATTGTAGATGATCTAAACATTTCTCAAGAAAAAAACATGTTCAGCCTTTAACCCACTGTTTCCCAAACCCATCTAAATGATAGTCCCCTTTCAGTCGAACAGCTATGGTATCTTTCCAGAGGCTGTCTGTGGCAGCCACTTGTGAAAAGGTGCTACGATAGGTTATTGCTTACTGCTTTAGAGTTTAATGCCACCTGTGACTTAAGAAGAGCATGGGAGTTAAGAGATAGACACTCATGACCACTGACTATAGTCTACCCCAGGTTTCTGCTTTTCTGGGCCAGTAAAAATGTGTGCAGGTTTTACTAGGAGGGTTATAGTAATAGGGGTCATACTCAGCTTTGCCTTGGGAGGATGCTCAAAGCAAGGGGGAAACCCTTGCTATTCAGGAAAGCAAGCCATTTTCACGTTTAAAAAAATAAACATGTTTAACTTGATAAATTAGTCGGTCTGTTGTCCATGTTTTTCTCATTTTATTGAAGACTGATTAAAAACTTTATCATAGGCTCAGGAAAATACTGGCCTGTCTTAATTATTTATATAAAGAAAGACACCCACAACAGGGGGGATTTAGTAACTTTTCCGTGTTGATGGTGGAGCCAGGACCAAATACTCATCTTGTTTCCTGCCTAGTAATCAGGACCTCTGACTTAGCCTGAGAATCAAGTCTGCAGCATACATGGGAATGCTACCTGTCCCTTGAATCATGCCTTTCCTCATAAGATAGAAGAAAGTAGACTGCAACACCCTTAAAATCATCTTGCAGCATTTCCCAAAAGCATCCCCTCATTTTATATATGTATTATACAGAAACATACATGTTTGTTTGGTTATTTGTAAGAACTCACATGTTATATGACATATGACTATTTATATATCTAATCACATATCTATTCTAAAAATAAGTTGTTAGAAAACTTTCCGTTTTTAAAAGTTTAAACTTAAAGCATATTAACAACATGTCTTTCCTTGTCTTCATAAATTAATGACTATATGCTTTGGCAGTTTATTTATTTGGATCTCATATCCAAACTTGAGGGTTGAGTGCACATTCTTGACGGAGATATAAGATTGCCAAGTCCTGTTCCGTATGATAACATCAGGGGATGGTTTCTACTTGCCTTATGTCCTGGCCATCCTTGGTCCATAGGACAGACTCAAAATATGAATGTAATAGCGTGACTATGGGATGTGGAGTTGGGAGCACATGGCAGAGGTAGTGAGCAGCTGGCTCTTTCCCTTGAGTTCTTACTCAAAAGAGAAGAAATTCTTGACCAGATAGATGCACACAGATGGCTGGAGCGATGACTCAGCAGTTAAGAACACATCCTGCTTTTTCACAGGACCTGAGTTCAGTTCCCGGCATTCATGGGGAGCAGTTCACAACTGCTATATAATAGCCTATAACCCCAGCTCTAGAGGATCCAAAGCCTTCTTTTGGCCTCCATGGGTACCAGCACACATACTCATATCCATGAAGAGAGTCTCTGTCCCTCTTAACTAAGAATAAAATCATCTTTTTAAAAAAGTGGACAGATGAGTCACAATAACCATGAGAAGTATCAACTGCTGCCTATTATTCTCATAGGAAGTACTTTTTAAAATGGGCAATGTGGTAATTTAGTGTTACATAGTTTTGGTGCAGGAAATCTAAACCCTTGTATGTTATTACTCTCGTTTTTATAGAGTGATCAGATTATGCCTCCAGGTGTTTAAGTAATTTGCCCCATGTCATTTATCCAGAGAAGTAGAAGTCCCCAGCCTTAACTTCAGCATAGTATCAGCTCCCTGATCCCTGTAAAGATACACTAATTTATCCTAGTAAAAAGCTATGTGCCGTGTGCAGAGCATGGAGACTGGGGAGACAAAGCATTTGCTTGTCTTCAGGTGGCTGACTGGTTAGTAGAGTTGACCTGACAGAAGAAGTAATTCCAGTGCAGTGAGATCTTCCTCCTTTTGCAAAAGGCCCCTGAGCTTTGAAAACAGCAGGAAGGAGTCATTCAGACTGGAGGACTCAAGCCTTCTGAGAGACACCAAGGATGGAGCTGAGCGATAAGAATATTTAGAGGCTTGAGAGACTTTGGCTGAGAGGTGAGGGTACCTTCTTTCATAGTCTCCCGTGAATGTGGAGCTGGCTCTTACTTTCCACACAGCCCTTCTGAATAAAAGAATGTCTGACTCAAAAAGCTTGTGCTGTCTCCTCAAAGGACAGGTGATATTTGTGAGGGAGTAGGAAAATGAGAAGGTTAACACCCACTGAATAGAGGTCTGGTTTTGTTTTATTTTTCTTTTTCGTTTTTCCAGGTAGAAGTCTCTCTATGTAGCCCTAGCTGTCCTAGAACTCACTATGAAGACCAGGCTGGCCTACTGCAGAGATCTGCCTGCCTCTGCCTCCAGAGTGCTGGGATTAAAGGCGTGCTGCCACCACTGACTAAGGGCTGATTTAATTAGAATAATGTATTTGTGTATTTCTGGGACAGTATTAAAGAGTACACAGGAAGAAATGATTCAACTGAAAAAAGGTTGTAAAAGCACAGGAAATTTTAGTGGTTTTTTTTTTTTTTTAGTTCTAAATGCTTAAAACTCTAGTTCTAATTTCTTGATGTATTTGTTTACTCAAATACTAATTATTGAACATCTAGGTAATGAATGAGACCAACTGTTCTTTAAAAACTGTATAGTAGGAAGGAGCAAATAATCAAATATAGTTCAGTTGAGGCTAAGTTTAGAAACCAATGTTTTAAATTAAAATTTGGTGTTGGGTACACATTCATTAGTTATACATTCAATAGACTGCTCTATGGGGGGGCCATGAGATACAAAATATTAAGGAATTTTGGCTCTCTGCTTTTCTTCAAGTTAATGGGTCACAAGGGGATGTTTGATAATACAGTTCATCAATACCACAGCAAAGATGACTAAATATTTCTATAGGTTAGTGTCTGGCAAAAGGCAGTCTAAGGCCGTGGTTCTCAACCTTCCTAATGCTGTGACCCTTTAATACAGTTCCTCATGCTGTGGTGACCCCAACCATAAAATCATTTTCATTGCTACTTCATAGTTGTAGTTTTGCTACTATTATGAATCATAGTTAAATATCTAATACTCCACCCGTGTGAAAGGGTTGATTGGCTCCCACTGCTCGAAGGCAGAGGTGGGGTGTCTAGTGAAGGGAGAGCCACTAAGGTC